ACCCTGCGGGGCCCCCCCAGCCTGGTCCCGAGAAGAGGGGGAGGGCTGGGGGGCATCGGGTTGGTGGCTCGATCCTTGCCAGGTGCAGGGTCTGCTGGCTGGGTGCTGGCAGGCTTGCACCCGGCACGGGCACCGTAGCCAGCCCGTGCCCCTTTAAGGGGTCCGGGGCCGGGAGGGGGGCAGACGAGTTTCCCTGGTGTTGGCCAGAGTGGCCACCAGGGAAAGCTGGGGAGGGCTAGCCTCCCACTAGTTCGAATTAAGGGTCTACACAGCCCTTAATTCGAACTAGTAAGTTCGAACTAGGCTTAATCCTCGTGGAATGAGGTTTACCTAGTTTGAACTAAGCGCTCCGCTAGTTCGAATTAAATTCGAACTAACGGAGCGCTAGTGTAGCGCCTATGAAACACCTCCTGGGATTTATTTCCCTCTGACTTGACAGAATGTGAACCCCTGGCCCTTGATGACCGTACACGACAGACTTGGGCACAGACGTTCCCAGTGGCTGGCTTCAGAAGGTGGGTTTCTCCAGGTACAAACAAACTGGCTACGTCTACACTGGCACCCTTTTTCAGAAATGCTTAAAACGGAACAGTTTTCCGTTATAAGTATTTCCGGAAAAAGCTCATCTACATTGGCAGGATGCTTTTCCGGAAAAGCACTTTTTCTGGAAAAGCGTCCGTGCCAATGTAGACGCACTTTTCTGCAAAAAAACCCCGATCGTCATTTTCGTGATCGGGGCTGTTTTGTGGAAAATACTACTGTGCTGTCTACACTGGCCCTTTTCCGGAACAGTTTTCTGGAAGAAGGACTTTTGCCCAAACGGGAGCAGCATAGTTTTTCCGGAAAAACACTGACAATAATCTCTGAGGTGGGTGTTTACTGAGAGTTCCCGGCTTTTGGATTGCGACTGTGGTGTTCTCCCAAATTAATCTTTGGCTCTGTCTCTTGGAGGAAAAGTTTTCTTTCATGATGCCCAGACTCGGTGGTTGCGAGAAGGGAGGTATTGCCACATAGAGACTCCCAGCTATTAACAG